TTCAGATTCGACAAAAAATAATACGATATAAACACTCCCACTCGAAGCAAATACACTTCCACCCGCCAAAACGATGCGAGTTGAAGATTTTGCTAGCATATCAAGCGAGAAAAGGGAACTGAAAAACTACCGACATGTTTTGAGCGATGAACTTTTTGACAAAATGGAAGTCAGAAAATCGAGGTCAAATTTTCAAGATCGAAAAAACTACGAAATATTCGAAATGAAAGAATGGATAATAACTCACCTGTTAACTAATGGTATTTCGCTTCGGTAATAACAAAAAGTTGTTAAATATATGAAATGTTACAGCTAAGAGCAAGGAATAAAATACGGAGCACTTGATCATACGTTTTCAAAATGGAAAGCGACGCTATACTGTCAAGTGACTATGCGACGCCAACAACCGCTACACGCACTCACTGGATGTTTATTGCTAATCCCCCCCTAAGACAATAGGCGTTTCGAGACCGGTGATAGAGGGACTGTGATTTTATGGATGACATCCGCGCGTGCAGTAGTTTTCGCCTGTTCTCAAAAAAAAAATCACCAAAGACGAGTCTCCACAGATTGGTTTTCTGTCCAGAACATGCCGACTCATATTGTCGCAAAGCGCCGGCTTGTCATAAAACTCGTTTTGGACTACCTCAAAACGTGCCAATTTTGTCGTAAATGATCTTCTGCACATGCGTATTGCGTTGCCGGGAATTCCAACATGGCGACCACGCCACCAAAATACGTGAGCCATAAAAGTTCAGAGGAAAAACGGAGGGATTGTTGTAGACTGGTACGCAATTGACGTCGGCCAGGGAGATGTGACGTTTACACAGCTATACGAGAGATTGGTAGCGGCAAGCGAGTTTCGCCCAGACAAATTTAAGGACATATTGTCCAGAGTGGCTGTCCCGGAGCGGAGGTGTATGGTGGCCTAAAAGTCAGTCAGGCGACAAGTCAGTTTGGTTGCTTTGTCCGCATTGAAGCCGACAAAACTGCAACGAAAGCAGAGGAAGCTCCTCCGCCGAAGTCCGCTTTTGAGATGAAGAAAAGTTTCTTATTATTTTTTTTTTTATTTTCTGATTTGGATAATTTGCTTGCACACACAGTCAGTAATATTTTGATCAGATGATAAATTTTCATCAAGATACATGTACATAATTTTCGGCATCCAAATTTTTGTTGGTGTTTTTTTTTCAATATCGAGCCTCTTATAATTTGTTACGTAGTTGAAGTAGTTCTAGAGCATCTGTGTCTACACTTAGTCTATCTGAAGTGTCACTTTAAAAGCTGTAGTTTGAATGTCAAAGAAGTTAATTTCCAGGTTGCTGTTGACAAACCTATTGTTCATTTTTAATTCAATTTTGTTTTCAATACAACACAGTAAGTTTTTCTTTATTTAGTATTTATGTATTTCTTGTTGTTTTTATGATACACTGTGTTCTGTAGTTCAATTCGTAATTTTATACCAGCTCCGCATTTTTTTTTTGGCAGGTTTTTTCTTTTTTTCGCCCTCTCGCATTAGATTTGGGGTCTCCAGAGGATGTCATCCATAAAATTAAATCAGTGTGGCCTAAATCACCAAAACAAAACATGCGGCGAACACTGAAATAACATGGATGTCACGGTATCTGATTTGTTCTTTGTCCTCAGTACCCATAAAGCAATCAACATAATGATTAATTTATTTACAGTCATCGGATTCGATTTTTTCTTTTTCTTTTAAATGATAATTTTGTTGTGTGAAAATATTTTTCTTCTTATTACTTGGGTTTTTCAACTATTACAATATGTCAGTGTATTTATAAAACCTATGAAAATACTTGAAATTTAAAAGAAATAAATGAAAGGCTAGAATTTCACAACTTGTTCCATTAGAATTTTTCAGAGAATAAAATTTATATTCTTCATTTGTCAAAGTTGATATTTTTTTTACTTATCAAGTGGTTTAACTTATTCATCAAAATCATTCAAGAACATTAATATAGTACTTGTACATAATATTTCAGGTTGATGTAAATATAAAAGTGCTAAGAATTTCCTTTGAAATGTTTGATTGGTATGCTAGTTATATGC